GGAGGGCTACAGTGCTGCTGGTCACATAAATCGATTTAGAGACAGTCCTCCGTCTCTCGAATCCAGAGCTCGGAACTCAATCCGCTGTTCGAACTAGGTTCGCGAAACTGTTGTATTATTCGAGTCATGCTGTCGATTTTCTGCACCTAACTCGGGCTGTAGGGGGGCTCCAGAACTAGTAATCACAGGAGTCGATTCGCAGACATTAGACGTGTCCGCCATTCAGAGGTCTGAACTCGGTTTGATACTCGAGCTGGGTTGGCAAACTGTTTTTTTTGTTAGTCATCTTGAGAGGTCTGAAATCGCTTGAGCTCAAAAAATAGTCGTTCTCTGGATTTTTCTTCCATATAATATACTGTCAGGAAGCTCTACGAGTTCCCCGGCGGTAACCAAGGTTGACGGTTTACCGCCGGCGCCCAGTGCTGCGATAGTACGGCATTGGAGCATTCTCATTACAGTACTGTAGTACTTTCACGGCAGGCAATGGTAGATCATAATTGACTCGTAGAGCTTCCCTACGCTAGTTGCTGGAAGCTTAAGAGTAATTCCGGCGCGCTGGAGAGCTAGTTGGCAAGAAAAATCTCGCCGGAACTTTTGATGACTTTTGGTCGGTTGAAAATTTTGTTCTCGAAATTTGACAATTCGTTAGAGCTCTAGTATTTTTTTCCCGTGATATTCGATCTCATTACCGCTCGCAATCTTGATCTCAGCTCGATCGGATGAATATTGTCAAAAAGCACTCTGTCGGGATCGGCCGTTTCGAGTCATCTTGATACGCGCTGACGGTTTTCTGAACATAACTCGAGCTGGTAAGCACAGCTAATCGATGTAGAATGATTAGGCGCGTTCGCCTGTTGAATCTAGAGGTCCGAACTCGGTCTGTTAGCCGAGCTAGGTCCGGGAACCTATTAGTATTATTCGACTCTACTTGACAGCAACTCCCGGTTTTCTGTACTTAACTCGAGCTGTAGGACAGCTACAGAGCTGATATGTACAGAAACCGATTCCGAATGATCAGTTGTGTTCGTCTGTCGAATTCATAGCTCTGAACTCGGTCTCCTGCCCGATCTAGAATCGCGAAACTATTCGTATTGTTCGAGTTATCTTGAGAGATGCAGTTTGTTTTCTGCACTAAACTCGGGCTGTGTGGGGGGGGGGGGTGGCTGCATGGCTGGCAATCACTGAAATCGATTCAGAGACATCAGGTGCGTCCGCTTTTCGATTCGAGAGCTCCGAACTCTGTCTGCTGCACAAACTAGCTCGGCGAACCTTTCGTACTGTTCGAGTTATTCTGAGAGATGCTGTCGGTTTCCTGCGCTTTACTCGGGCTGTGGGGGGAGCTGCATGGCTGGTAAGTTGGAATCGATTCAGAGACATCAGATGTGTCCGCCTTTCGAATCCAAAGCTCCGAACTCTGTCTGCTGCCCGAACTAGGTCCGCGAAACAATTCGTATTGTTCGAGTTATCCTGAGAGGTGCTGTCGGTTTCCTGCACTTAACTCGCGCTGTGGGGGGGGCTGCAGGGCTGGTAATCACAGGAATCGATTCAGAAACATCCGACGCGCCCGTCTGTCGCATTCAGAGGTCAAAAAATATTCACTATGAGTCGGACTGTTGAAAGGTGCTGTCGGTTTCCTCAACTTAAGTCGAGCTAGGAAGCTCTACGAGTGTCCCGGCGGTAACCAAGGTTGACGGTTTACCGCCGGCGCCCAGTCAGACGAGTACTGTACTATAGCATTGCTTCGACAATGCCACCACCACAACCGTACAGCACTTTCCCACAATAGTACATCACTTTTCCTACAGCACTACTACTAAAGCATTCGGGTTCGATGCCACTACTACTGTACCCACGTACTAGAGTCGTGCACTACTTCTGCTACAACACGACAGTGCGACTACTAAAAGAAGTATTATATCCCCAGGCCGAAGGTGTTTTCCTCTTGGGCCAAAGCTACGAAAACATCGACAGGTCCAATTGGATCGCTTTTTTTTTTTCGGGTGTAGGAGAGTTTCGTGGATCCTATTTCTGTGTTGCGCGGATCCAATTTCCTGTGTGTGAGAAAAAACGATGGATCCACTTATTTCCCGGAAATAATATATAAGAATAATTCACATCCAGGACCCAGGGGAAATTGGATCCGCGGAGCACCGTAAGTGAAGCATCATGCTACATCCCCAGTACCCACGGAGCTGTGGATCTGCAGACCACTGCTATGATTCTATGGGGGAAGGGGTCTTCCCAGAATGAAGAGGGGAAGGATGAGGGAAAAAGGCAAGAGGAGGTGGGAGGAGAACAGAGGGAACGCAGGGGGGGGGGGACAGGGGGAACAATCAGGGAAGAGAGGGGGGGAGGAGGAAGGCAGAGGAGGAAGGAAGAGGAGAAGGAGGAGGAGAAAGGGGATGAGGGAGGAGGGAGGGGACAGGAGGGAGGCGGACGGACGAAGGAGGAAGGAGGAGGAGGGAGGAGGCGGGAGGAGGAGTGGGGAAGTGGGAGGAGGAAGGGAAGGGATGAGGGAGGGCGAGGACACACAAGCAAAATGTCCAAGTCGGAACCTCGAACGCCACAGCGGGCCCGGCCACCTCCCGTCACTTCTCCCATAACATGTGGTGGCTCGAGCGCCGCCGCGGGCCTGGCCATCTCCCGAAAGTCCTCCCACAACATAAGTTTGCTCGAACGCCGCAGCGGGCCCGGCCAACTCCCGCATCTTCACCCGTAACACATCTACCCCACCTCGAAGCGAGCGCTACATGTATCCGCTCACCTGAACGGCGCGTCGCTTCCGACATGTGGGGCTCAAGAGGAAATTCTTCGGCCAGCGAAAAGCGGTTATGAGATGTACTGCACCGTCCTGCCTACTACTACAACAACAACTACTACTACTACTACTACTGCTACTACTACTACTACTACTACTACGACTACGACTACGACTACGACTACGACTACTACTACTACTACTACTACTACTGCTACGACTACGAGTACTACTACTACTACTACTACCACCACCACCACCACCACCACCACCACCACCACTACTACTACTACTACTACTACTACTACTAGTACTACTACTACTACTACTACTACGACTACTACTACTACTACTAGTACTACTACTACTACTACTACTACCACGAATATTACTACTACTACTACTACTACTAGTACTACTACTACGACTGCTAGTACTACTACTACTACTACTACCACTACTACTACCACTACTAATACTACTACTACTACTACGACTACTACTACTACTACTACTACTACTACTACTACTACTTCTACTACGCTAGTCAGTACTAAAGCGCAACGCGAGAGTATTATTATCACGTATTACCGCACTACTGTAAAACAGGACTCTAGCACTAGAGTGGTGCTACTTTAGTACCCTCCTGCAGCACGGGGCCGTGGAAGGGGAGGAGGAGGAGGGAGGGTGCGGAGCCTCCCGTGTGTCCTCCCACAATCGTGCGACGGGGGGTGGTGCAGTCGAGCCGCAATCGGGCCCCTCAGGGCTGATGGTTGCCCCAATGGCGTCCCCTCAGGAGGGGGGACCTCCTCCCCTGGTCACGAATCTTTTTGTGCGAGGGGTCGCACAATCGAAATCGTGACCAACGGGCGCCCCCCACCCTCTCACAACGGTGCCCCACCCTTCCGCCCGGAGCCCCGGGCGCATCCCTGGCCATGCGCCACCGACGCACGAGAGAACAGGAAGCCCAAACGGAAACGATTCAGACAGAGCCCCACCCTCCAAAGGAAGAAAGCGAATGACGAACCCCAAAAAACGAAAAAGGAACAGCAAACCGAAAATTGTGGAATCGCAGGGGGGGATTCGCCCCCGAACCCCAAGATGGCTCCAGGAGGGCCTCAGAGAGCCCAAGATGACGCATTTCTAAGATGGCTCAAGATAGCCCAAGCTGGCTCAAGATGGCTTCCAAGATGCTCCAAGAGGGCCCAAGACCGCCCCAAGACGGCTCCAAGTGGCCACGGAGCCCCCAAAGGAGGCCCCCAAGAGGCCAACACCCAAAGAAAATCTATGATGTTGGCCTTCCCGCCTTTTCTCTTTCGATGGCCTTTTCAGGCCTCAAGATTGCTCCAAGAGGGCCCAAGAGGGCCCCGAGAGAGGCCCAAGAGAGCCCCCATACGACTCCAAGAGCGCCCGAGAGCGCCCCAAGACCGCCTCAAGAGGGGCCTAAGAGGCAATGTGAAGCGCTCTAGAAGGGCAATGCTAATTGAAGCTATCTTTTCTTTTGATCGATGTCCTCCAAGATAGCCCCAAGAGGCGCCCAGGAGGCCCCCGGGAGGCCCCCGGGAGGCCCCCAAGAGGCCCCCAAGCGGCCTCCAAGAAGCCCCCAAGAGGCTCCCAGAGGCACCCAAGACGCTCCAAGAACCCCGGAGACCGCCAAGAAGCCCCCGAGACGCCCCAAGTGGCCTCCAAGGAAGCCCCCAAGAGACATCCCACGAGACTCCGAGAGGCATCAAAGAGGCCTCTGGCCTTCTGCTCGCCCTCCTCCTCCCCTCCATCTGTCTCTTCCGTCTCCTCATCCCTCCTCCTCTATTTCCTCCTTCCCTCTTTTCGTTGTTTTGCTTCGTAGATCACTAGTGTACATATGCAATGCACCTCTGTCAGTCATCTACGAACCATGCACGCTGTACATGCGCTCTCCCTCCGCGCTCTTGGCTGGAAGAAATCGCGAGCGAGGCCTCACTTGACGAACAATTCTTCAAGTTCGACAGCGAAAAATCACACACACACATAAACATGAACTTTCGGAGGCCCGCGCGGATTTCTTAGATCGGCGCTGGACCCCCCTTCCTGGCGCGCGGAGCGCGCCAGGGGCGGCGCCCGAGGCGCCGTTGAGGGGCCCAAGGCCGAACCAAGATATCCGCGCGGACATCCGACGGTTTAATATGTTTATGTGTTTCCTGGACAAGTGCTCTTCAGTCTGCCTCTAGCACCTTGCCGGATTGTGGTAGTAGTCGCGGCGCGCCCCGGCGCAGCACCACTCCTTGTCCTGGCAGTTGTCGGTGGAGAGCCAGTCGCAATCGCAGCCCCCGCTGCAGCCGGAGGGATTGATATGCGGGTACGACTCAGCCGTCAGGCTCTGCTCGAGCTGCGACTGGCTCGCCAGCAGGGCGGCCCCGGAGCAACCTGCCGGATTGTGGTAGTAGTCGCGGCACGCCCCGGCGCAGCACCACTCCTTGTCCTGGCAGTTGTCGGTGGAGAGCCAGTCGCAATCGCAGCCCCCGCTGCAGCCGGAGGGATTGATGTGCGGGTACGACTCAGCCGTCAGGCTCTGCTCGAGCTGCGACGAGCGGCCCCGGAGCACCCTGCCGGATTGTGGTAGTAGTCGCGGCGCGCCCCGGCGCAGCACCACTCCCTGTCCTGGCAGTTGTCGGCGGAGAGCCAATCGCAATCGCAGCCCCCGCTGCAGCCGGAGGGATTGATGTGCGGGTACGACTCAGCCGTCAGGCTCTGCTCGAGCTGCGACTGGTTCGCAAGCAGGGCGGCCCCGGAGCAACCTGCCGGATTGTGGTGTAGTCGCGGCACGCCCGGCGCAGCACCACTCCTTGTCCTGGCAGTTGTCGGTGGAGAGCCAGTCGCAATCGCAGCCCCCGCTGCAGCCGGAGGGATTGATGTGCGGGTACGACTCAGCCGTCAGGCTCTGCTCGAGCTGCGACTGGTTCGCAAGCAGGGCGGCCCCAGAGCAACCTGCTGGATTGTGGTAGTAGTCGCGGCACGCCTCGGCGCAGCACCACTCCTTGTCCTGGCAGTTGTCGGTGGAAAGCCAGTCGCAATCGCAGCCCCCGCTGCAGCCGGAGGGATTGATGTGCGGGTACGACTCAGCCGTCAGGCTCTGCTCGAGCTGCGACTGGTTCGCAAGCAGGGCGGCCCCGGAGCAACTTGCCGGATTGTGGTTAGTCGCGGCACGCCCCGGCGCGCACCACACTTGTCCTGGCAGTTGTCGGTGGAGAGCCAGTCGCCATCGCAGCCCCCGCTGCAGCCGGAGGGATTGATGTGCGGTACGACTCAGCCGTCAGGCTCTGCTCGAGCTGCGACTGGTTCGCAAGCAGGGCGGCCCCGGAGCAACCTGCCGGATTGTGGTAGTAGTCGCGGCACGCCCCGGCGCAGCACCACTCCTTGTCCTGGCAGTTGTCGGTGGAGAGCCAGTCTCAATCGCAGCCCCCGTTGCAGCCAGAGGGATTGATGTGCGGGTACGACTCAGCCGTCAGGCTCTGCTCGAGCTGCGACTGGTTCGCAAGCAGAGCGGCCCCGGAGCACCCTGCCGGATTGTGGTAGTAGTCGCGGCACGCCCCGGCGCAGCACCACTCCCTGTCCTGGCAGTTGTCGGTGGAGAGCCAGTCGCAATCGCAGCCCCCGCTGCAGCCGGAGGGATTGATGTGCGGGTACGACTCAGCCGTCAGGCTCTGCTCGAGCTGCGACTGGCTCGCAAGCAGGGCGGCCCCGGAGCAACCTGCCGGATTGTGGTAGTAGTCGCGGCACGCCCCGGCGCAGCACCACTCCTTGTCCTGGCAGTTGTCGGTGGAGAGCCAGTCGCAATCGCAGCCCCCGCTGCAGCCGGAGGGATTGATGTGCGGGTACGACTCAGCCGTCAGGCTCTGCTCGAGCTGCGACTGGTTCGCAAGCAGAGCGGCCCCGGAGCACCCTGCCGGATTGTGGTAGTAGTCGCGGCACGCCCGGCGCAGCACCACTCCCTGTCCTGGCAGTTGTCGGCGGAGAGCCAATCGCAATCGCAGCCCCCGCTGCAGCCGGAGGGATTGATGTGCGGGTACGACTCAGCCGTCAGGCTCTGCTCGAGCTGCGACTGGTTCGCAAGCAGGGCGGCCCCGGAGCAACCTGCCGGATTGTGGTAGTAGTCGCGGCACGCCCCGGCGCAGCACCACTCCTTGTCCTGGCAGTTGTCGGTGGAGAGCCAGTCGCAATCGCAGCCCCCGCTGCAGCCGGAGGGATTGATGTGCGGGTACGACTCAGCCGTCAGGCTCTGCTCGAGCTGCGACTGGTTCGCAAGCAGGGCGGCCCCAGAGCAACCTGCTGGATTGTGGTAGTAGTCGCGGCACGCCTCGGCGCAGCACCACTCCTTGTCCTGGCAGTTGTCGGTGGAAAGCCAGTCGCAATCGCAGCCCCCGCTGCAGCCGGAGGGATTGATGTGCGGGTACGACTCAGCCGTCAGGCTCTGCTCGAGCTGCGACTGGTTCGCAAGCAGGGCGGCCCCGGAGCAACTTGCCGGATTGTGGTAGTAGTCGCGGCACGCCCCGGCGCAGCACCACACCTTGTCCTGGCAGTTGTCGGTGGAGAGCCAGTCGCAATCGCAGCCCCCGCTGCAGCCGGAGGGATTGATGTGCGGGTACGACTCAGCCGTCAGGCTCTGCTCGAGCTGCGACTGGTTCGCAAGCAGGGCGGCCCCGGAGCAACCTGCCGGATTGTGGTAGTAGTCGCGGCACGCCCCGGCGCAGCACCACTCCTTGTCCTGGCAGTTGTCGGTGGAGAGCCAGTCGCAATCGCAGCCCCCGCTGCAGCCGGAGGGATTGATGTGCGGGTACGACTCAGCCGTCAGGCTCTGCTCGAGCTGCGACTGGTTCGCAAGCAGAGCGGCCCCGGAGCACCCTGCCGGATTGTGGTAGTAGTCGCGGCACGCCCCGGCGCAGCACCACTCCCTGTCCTGGCAGTTGTCGGTGGAGAGCCAGTCGCAATCGCAGCCCCCGCTGCAGCCGGAGGGATTGATGTGCGGGTACGACTCAGCCGTCAGGCTCTGCTCGAGCTGCGACTGGTTCGCAAGCAGGGCGGCCCCAGAGCAACCTGCCGGATTGTGGTAGTAGTCGCGGCACGCCTCGGCGCAGCACCACTCCTTGTCCTGGCAGTTGTCGGTGGAGAGCCAGTCGCAATCGCAGCCCCCGCTGCAGCCGGAGGGATTGATGTGCGGGTACGACTCAGCCGTCAGGCTCTGCTCGAGCTGCGACTGCGACTGGTTCGCAAGCAGGGCGGCCGCGCCGCCCCCGCACCAAGTGCCAGTGCCATAGCACTGGCTCCTATCGCCGGTCTCGAAGGTCCTGCCGTCGCTCGAGGGGCAGCTCGTGCCAGGCAAGTACTTGCGATTCCCCCATGCTGTGCCGCACTGCCCGCACTGGGCGGCGCCCAGGTTCTGTGGCCACCAGCAGCAGAACGCTTCTGCGCTGCAATCGCTCGCCCTGCGTGGCTGCAGGAACTCGTCGGCTGCGGTCGGGGCGACGGCCAACCTGCACAGGGCGGATCGGAATGCCATCGCTGTGAGCCTCTGCAGTGCCGGGCGGTGCGTCAGCCAATCTCGTCTGAGCCAAAATGCCTACGTATGGGTGAAGATCATGATCATGAGGATGATGACGATGGTGAGGCTGTGGCTGATGATCATGACGATGACGATAGAGAGCCATCCCAACAGGCCCTAAGAAGATCCAAGAAGCCCACGACCCAAAACCCAGGCACGGTGGCTGGATACGCCTAAAGCCACAAGATTCGCCGCCCCCTGTTGGCTTGCCACAAGGGTGCCTGGCGTGCTGAATTTCAATTTTGCTTCTTTCAGAATTCCCCCTGGGGCTTCAGCGCAGCGCGCTGGCCACGCGGATTTTGCCCGGGTCATGGGTTTCCCCCCCAAGACGGCTTCAAGATGGCCTCCAAGACGGCTAAGATGGCTCCAAGTTCGCCCAAGATGGTCCAAGATGGCCTCTAAGACGACCCAAGAGGGTCCAAGATCCCCCTCAAGTCCGCCCAAGAAGCCACCAAGACGGCCCAAGATGGCCTCAAGATGGCCCAAGGCGGCTCAAGAGGCCCAAGAGGCCCCCAAGGGGCCCTCCAGGAAGGCCAGAAGAAGCCAAAATCAACGATTATCCTTACGTAAGTTTTTGAAGGATTTTGGCATTTGCTTCTTTTCGGCCTTGCGACGGTCCAAGACGGCCCAAGAGGCCCCCAAGATCGTCCCCAGAGCGCCCAAGAGGCCTCCAAGATGGCCCCGACGGCCCAAGAGGCCCCTTAGTCGGCCCCAAGAGGGCCCCGAGACGGCCCAAGAGGCCTCCAAGACGCCCCAAATGGCTTCCAAGACAGCCCTGAAGCACCCCAAGAGGGCCCCAAGACGGCCCAGAGAGGCCCCCATAACGGCTCCCGACGGCGTCACAAAGAGGCCCCCAAGAAGCCCCAAAAGGTCCCCAAGAGGCCCGAGGAGGCCCCCAAGAAGCCTCCAAGAGGCCCCCAGGAAGCTCCCAGGAGGCCCTTATAGTGCCCCAACAGGCTCCCCAGAGGCCTCCTCCTCCTCCTCCTTCTCCTCCTCCTCCTCCTTTTCCTACCTCTTCTGATCCTCCCCAGGTGTTCCCCGAAGATCTTCCAGAGCGGCTGGGGGAATACATTGTCCGACAGCTTGGCCAAGCTGGAGCCCAACGATTGGCCGCAGAGGCGCTTCCCAAAAGGGCAGGGGGCGGCGGTGATTCGCCGTAGGCGTCTTCGATCCCACCAGCCCCCTGGGCGTGAGTGGTCTCCGCCGTCCTCTGCCTAAGCCTCAGCCGAAGCCTGATCTAGCTAGCTTCAGCCTCAGCCTCAGCCTAAGCTTCAGCCACTGCCCAGCCTGAGACTCAACCCGACTATTGCTACTGCATCATCAGGGTATCGCTGCTACCACAAGACTACCACATTATGATTACTACAGTCTGTTAAAACTACTACTCCTGCAACTTTATTACTACTACAACAGTACGGCCGTATAAGAAGGCCTCTGCATTTCTAAAGTATCGCAATACTGTGCTACTCCTACAGCCGCCACTGCAGTGCTACCAATACTTCTTCACCAGGGTACTACCACCGCTTCGCTACAATGCTTCTAATACAATAGTACTGCGGCAATATGGCGTTAGGGCACGGTTCCCGGGCTTGACCGCTCCAGTGTTGGAGTTACACTGTTGCTACTGCCAGTATTTGGGTATTACTAGAACAGTAGTAGACTACCAGTACTGCAGCACTACTGCTACAGTGCTGTACCACAAGTACTACAGTGTCATCACTACAGCAATACAAATTTAAAGTGTTGCAGCAGTGCTGCGATACTACGGCATTGGAGCATTCCTGCTGCAGTATTGCAGTGCACCCGCTGCGGGCAACCGTAGAGTACTAATCATGCTGTACTGTAGTACTGTTTCTACAATGCCTCTACAACAAATGAAAACTATCCCGCAACAGTACACCACTCTTCCTACAGCACCACCACTAACGCACTGACTACAACTACGGGACTACTACAGCGCTGCCACTTCATCCATACACTACTACGACTGGTTTAGCACGGTGTCGGGGTACCAGTATTACAATACTAGGAGTACCACTACTGTTGTACTACTGCTACAGAGCTGTACTACGGCTAGAACCGCGTCACCATCTACAACACTAGAGTAAAACAAATATTGCAACAGTGCTGCGATACTACGGCATTGGGGTATTCTCATTACAGTACTGTACTATTTTCACTGTAGGCAATGGTAGAGCATAATTCACACGAGTACTGTACTATAGCATTGTTTCCACAATGCACCTGCTACACCTGTGCAGCACCATTCCACAATAGTACATCACTCTTCCTACAGCGCTACCACTAAATCCTTCGGGTTCGATGACACTACTACTGCACCCACGTACTACAGTCGTGCACTACTTCTGCTACAACACTACACTCCTGCAACACTATTACTACTACAACAGTACGGCCGTATGTGAAGGCTTCGGCAACTCTAAAATATCGTAATACTGTGCCACCCCTACAGCCGCCACTGCAGTGCTACCACTCATTCTTTACCAGGGTACTACTACGGCTTCGCTATAATGCTTCTGATACAGTATTACTGCGGCAATGTGGTGTTAGGTTACGGTTCCCGTGATTGACCGTTCCAGTGTTGGAGTTCCACGTTTGCTACTGCCCGTATTTGAGTATTACTATTACAGTACCAGACTACCAGCACCGCAGCACTACTGCTACAGTGCTGTACAACAAGTACTACAGTGTCACCACTACAGCAATACAAGTTTAAATTGTTGCAGCAGTGCTGCGATACTACGGCATCGGCGCATTCTTACTACAGCATTGCAGTGCACCCGCTGCGGGCAACCGTAGAGTACTAATCGTGCTGTACTGTAGTACGGCTTCTACAGTGCCCGTACAGCAATTGAAAACTACCCCACAACAGTTTAGTACCCTTCCTAGAGTACTACCACTAACGCACAGACTGCAACTACAGGACTACTACAGTGCTGCCAATTCATCCATACACTATTACGACTGGCTTACCACGGTGTCGGGGTACCAGTAATACAGTACTAGCGTACCAGTGCTGTTGCACTGCTACACCGCTGTACTACGACTAGAACCGCGTCACCATCTACAGCGCCAAAATAAAACAAATATTGCAACAGTGCTGCGATAGTACGGCATTGGAGCATTCTCATTACAGTAGTGTAGTACTTTCACGGCAGGCAAGGGTAGATCATAATTCACACGAGTACTGTACTACAGCATTGCTTCCACAATGCCACCACCACAACTGTACAGCACTATTCCACAATAGTACATCACTCTTCCTACAGCACTACCACTAAAGCATTCGGGTTCGATGACACTACTACTGTACCCAAGTACTACAATCGTGCACTACTTCTGCTACAACACAACAGTGCGACTACTAAAAGAAGTACTACATCCCCAGGCCGAAGGTGTTTTCCTCTTGGGCCAAAGCTACGAAAACATCGACAGGTCCAATTGGATCCCTTTTTTTCGGGTGTGGGAGAGTTTCGTGGGTCATATTTCTGTGCCGCGCGAATCCAATTTCCTGTGTGAGAAAAAACGATGGATCCATTTATTTCCCGGATATATATATATATATAATACTAATCCCACCAGCCCTTTGGGCGTGAGTGGTTTAGCTCTCTCTCTCTCTCTCTCTCTCTCTCTCTCTCTCTCTCTCTCTCTCTCCCTCTGTTCTCAACCCCCCTTGTTCCCCTTCGGGGAGGGGTTTACCCCTCCCCCTACCCCCCTACCCCTGGACTTGGAGGGGGCCTGTTCGCGGGTGGTTGGAGGGTTCTTTTCCGACCCCTGGGAAGGCTAAAAAACGACACCCCTCACGAGGATCGTGGCCCCGACGGGGGGGCTGACGGAAATGCTCGCCTCTTCTTTGAAGCCACAATCATTGATTGTACTACGGTTTTGGGCCCATTTTGGCTTTCTGAGGGGGCAGCGCCAATTAAAGCTCCCCTTTTCTTTCACGTCAAAATCATTGATTTTACTAAGGTTTTGGCCCCATTTTGGCCTTCTGAAGGGGGCAGCGCTAATTAAAGCTCCCCTCTTCTTTGATCGATTTCCTCTAAGATGGCCCCACGAAGCGCCCAGGAGGCACCACGAGGCCCCAAGATGGCCCCAAGAGGCCCCCAGGAGGCCCCCAAGAGGATCCCAAACGGCCCAAAGAGGCCCCCCCGAGGCACCCAAGACGCCGAAAAGCCCATCAGGACGACCATCTACTCGCCTGGGCGTCGTTTCTGGACGGGCAGGAGGAGGGGCCCGAACGACTCACACCAGGACGAGGGGCCCGAACAACTCACACCACGAGAAGCCCGAACGACTCACACCAGGACGAAGAGCCCGAACGACTCACACCACGAAGAGCCCGAACGACTCACGCCAGGAAGAAGGGCCCGAACGACTCACACCAGGACGAGAAACCCCAAACGACTCAAACCACGAGGAGCGCTTTCTCTCCCTCCTCCTCCGCCTCGTCCTTCTCCCGCTCCCACCACAAGGAGGATGTACAAGGAGGCGGGAGGAAGGAGGAACAGGGGAGATATGCGGGGGCAGGCGGAAACACGCCTGAAAAACACGACTGTCGGCATGCTTCGCTAGAGTTGCTGTTTTGAGATGGGCTGGTGGGGATACGCGAAGCGTGAAGAATTAACATCCAGGATCCAGGGGAAATTGGATCCGCGGAGCGCCGCAAGTGAAGCATCATGCTACATCCCCAGTACCCACGGAGCTGTGGATCTGCAGACCACTGCTATGATTCTACGGGGGAAGGGGGGGGTCTTCCCAGAAGGAAGAGGGGAAGGATGAGGGGAACAGGCAAGAGGAGGTGGGAGGAGAACAGAGGGGACGCAGGGGGGGGGACAGGGGGAACAATCAGGGAAGAGAGGGGGGGAGGAGGAAGGAAGAGGAGGAAGGAAGAGGAGAAGGAGGAGGAGAAGGGGGATGAGGGAGGAGGGAGGGGA